TTGTACGTTGATCTTCAGGATTCATTATTCTAAACTGAAAAATGAAATATAATTAGATAATCTAAAGTATCAATTTACCAGGCGACTTGTATTTCATGCAAAACTTATTGTTTCTTGTATTGAAACGATTAGATGAAGAGAATCTGAAAGCAAAGAATAACGGAATAATGATACATGAAGAAAAAAAAGAAAAAGAAAAAAAAAGGAAAAAATGTTCGACAATCATCTTTTTCTCTCGCTTGCTCTCTCTCTTGCTCTTGCCCTTTCTCTCCTTTCTTTTCTCTTACGTTCTCATTATAGATCATCATCTCGTCTTTTTCTTTGACCATGCGATTTTTTTTGAAAACAAAATGAAAAATTATTCAACAGGGAAGACTGTCAAAATCTTCAAGTGATTCTTGTATGACAACAGAAATAGCAGCAGTAATAGAAATAACAATACAAATAATGAATTCATTCTCTTATACATACATACAAAAAGAAAAAGAAAACGGTACACATGTCGTTTATCTAACAAACGTGTGCTGCAAATACAAACAAACAAAAGCGAGAAAATGGAGAAAAAAATGATGACTTGGCTTGTGTAAACCGAAAAAAAAATGAGCATGTCGTAACGATTAACTTTCAATCTTGCACATATGACCATATGTCCTTCTCGTTCGATTGTATTCTAGTGCTATCGCTTATCTAAAAGCGCATTAGAACACGTTGACAGCAAGAGTTCAAACTAAGATTATAACGTCATTGATTACAATGAGAAAAAAAGTAAAGAAGCACAGGAAACATATACTCTACCTTCCTTTTTTTATAATAACACTTAACCTTGATAGATGGTAACATAAAGAAAGCGAACAAAAGAAAAAAACTTAACATTTTCTTTGTCAATCACTCAAAACTGATGCTGATGCACACTACTAGAGCAACAAAGGATTATAAAACATCATCATAAGAACCAACTTTTTATTCATTTTCTTTCAATCATTTCCAAGCGTTTGTATATGTATGTTTGCAAGAAAGAAAGTGGTGAATGATTTGCACATGTTGTTGTCGTCAAGTTTTGGAGGCCTATATACATATGATATATACAATGGGATAGTAGCATACGCAGTTAATGAGCTTCGCTTCATCATCATCGTGTAACATATTGAACATAGTCTCACAATCATCACAGTCAAATCAAAAAAGGGCATCCACAGAAACAACAACAACAACAGCAGCAGCAGCAGCGATAGTCTATTCATTATGTAACAAACAATTCATTAAGGTTTAGAACCATTCACTCTCAAATCTATGAATGATGATGAACTTTGCTTACTCGACAATAGAATCGGACAACAGCAAACGATGTCTACTTGTGACAAGCACGCTAATGAGTCCTGTTCTTGTCTCGATTCCTATGTAATGAATAAGGGCAGGAAAAAAGAAACGAAAGCCATTGTACAAGAAGAAAAAGAAAGAAAAAAGAAAATCAATGCCTGTACATGATTAGTGCTGGCCACATGGAGATGGAACTATGATGACGGAACTTTTGCATAATGACACAGACGAGTGCACAGCTGGATTCTACTCCCTACATTTGTCTACGAACACATTATGAAATATGGCAGATCAGTGCGAACAACGAGACAATTAAGAATAAGAACACCATGGTGTACCATACCATATATTATATGCCTATATATATTTATATGCATATCATCTATGTACCTCCTATACACACTATAGCAAATATCACCTTCATTTGTACTAGAGTAAAATCTAGAAAAAAATAAAAAATACTTTTTTTTCATACCATGTTGTTGTCATATATTTTCATAACACAAAGATAATCGTGTTCTTGTTTTTTGTTGTTCATGAGTCTTTGATGATCTCAATTTCAACAAGATGAAGTGTATATGTTATCACAGTTATTGTTTATATTAATTGATTATAATAAAGTGACAGAGAAACGTCAATACACTTTATCTTTTGATATTAATGAAAGCTATGTCATGAAATTATTATTTCATTCATTAATGAAATGAATCATTATATGAGAGCTGAATGTTATTTTATCTCATTCTTATATAAATCTTTCAAGGTTATCCATTTCTGGAAAATAATCTGTTTGCTTTAGTAAATTCTTCATAACCATATTATTAAGAGAAATATCACCAAGAAGACCTTCATCACAGCATGTCTATATAGATGTTATATTTCATGTATCATTGTCCTTTTGCTTTAAATAACGATTCTTTTTATTCCTACTAATAAGGACATATATAATGATCATTATAGAACAGCATCATCAAATTAGAAATACAGAATAGCTCTATAATGTGCAACAAGAATAGAAACTAACTAGCTGAATATTGAGATCAGAGAGATCTATTCAATCATATCGTTATGTCCACATAAAATGATAAAGACTTCGTGAAATCCTGATATATTTGGCTCTTTTTTTTGCACTACTATTGAACAATGCTGGATAATCAAATATATTATTGTACTGTTATGTTTATTGCTAACAACAAAAGTGCTCTTTTGAAATTTCAAATATTTTCTAAGAGATAATTGATGATAACATGATAGTGACGGTTCCTTTTATTTGTAAGAAGATGCTGATGATCATCAAGATTGTATATATATATACATATAATATAAAGCAAATGTCTTCTGAGTTCTTGTTTCTTGAATTATTATCTATTGTTGAACTACAATAAGATGTGTAATAATCATTTCTTTTACTTTTATCTACTGTTTTATTCAGCGCGTAGGGACTAAGAATGTGCCACCTTTTCAAAGATTGAGATGGTTCTTCTTGCGTTTGTGATTTTTGCTCTGTGTACTAAGTGACTTGTTCTCGTGAAAATCGGTGCTCATCATTCTGAAATTTTAAAACGCGTATCCGGCAGAGAAGGTCTGGGTAAAGCAGTGCTGTTACTATGATATAAGAAGTTTTCCTTCCGTCAATGAATGTAACTAATGAAAGAAGATGTTGCTTTTCTCAATTTTCAATCAATAGAAATGCTCACTCGATATTAAATCGTATTCTCACTTTATCGTACATCTCAATTCATTTACTTCACCCGATGAGTTAAAAAAAGTGCTCTTTTTTCTAATTGTAGATAATACTTATTAAAAATTTCTTTCTAGATGAGAAAATCTTTTCTTTTAACATTTATTTTCTTACAATCAAACAATCAGTCAAGTGAAAGTTGTTGTCGTTCCGATCTAGCTACATTCTTCTTTAACTCTTTTATAGACATACACAAAAAGAACGGCGGTGGCGGCATCAACGCCGACTAACATTCAGACATACTTCAGAAGTTCAAGCGATAATTGGTGTACTCTTCAAACATTCAATCTTGTGTTGCTTATCATATTCACATTTTTCTATTTCCTGTTGATTTATGTACAACTGATAAATGATCTATCTATTTCATCTATTTCCGTTGTATAAAGCAGATCAAAATGAAATTCTCAGCAGCTGAAACAATAACTAGGATATATTCATAAAACTCAACGTGTAACAACGAAAAAAAAAAGAAAACAGAACAGAAAAAACAAACAAGGAGAAATAGGAGGAACAAAAACAAAAAACATGTTAATATTAGTAATGAGTATGCAATAAGACGAAAACAAAAAAAAAACGAACACTGTTTGCTAATTTGTTCTTTTTTTTCTTTTTTTAATAACTCTTTAATACAAGAAGAATAGTAGAAAAAAAACAAAAACAAGTCCACCAGAAATAGCATGAACAAGCATATATGTATATATATGATTTTTTTGTCTTGTGTGCATATTTCAGAGAAAACAAAACAAAAATAAGCTAAGTCACAAAACACAATCACAGTACATGACAGACAAAAAAAGACATATTTAGTTTCTTTTGTTCTCTAATTACACGAAACAATATATAAATACTCTGACTTGACTTTTTTTTGCTAAGATATAATTATAATTGTGGGATATATATAAAACAATCGAAACGATAAAGAAAAGAAATAATAATAATAATAATAATAATAATAGTAATAATAATAACAACAACAAAGAAACAAACAAATTGGAAGATAATGAAAAGACATGAATATAGATTAATAGATATAGGAGTTGGTTAATTAATTTTTTTTTGTTATTTTGATCGTACGCACGCACACAGTTCATAAATACAAGAAACTTTTTTTGTTAGTTGTTTTTTGATCGATAAAAGAGAAAGAAATGCCGATGAGTTGTAAGAATACTGAGAAAAACCACAAAAAATATAAATAAATAGACACAACATTGAAAAATATAATAATATAGACAGGCTTTTTACTGGGTGACATATATATATATAATGCAAGTGGTATAAGGAATGGATCTTAGTAAGTACTATGTCGAAGCACAAAGACCAAACAAAAAATAGGCTAAATAAAACTATATACATTAAAAAAAGAACGCATGTTTCTCGGTTTTCAAATAGAGCGACATGGATCTGACTGTCGCAGAAGGAGTTATATAGCAGCACATACATGTAGAAAAAAAAACAAAAAACAAATAATAACAAATTAACTAACCACAAAAATAACAAAAAAAGGGAAGAAATAAAGTCGACAACAATAACAAAACAACAATATAATAATAATAATAATAATAAAAATTTAACAAACAAAACAAACAACAGTTTTTAATTGTATACAATATATTTGTTCTTACGAAGACTTTTTCTGTGTTTTTAAAATTTTTTCTTCGGCTTTTCAGAATCCTCTTTCAATTTTTTTCTTCGTTATCATTGTCAAAAAACAAAATTGGTTTTTGACAAAATTAATCGAACAAAAACGAAACAAGGCATAGCACACACAAATACTCACACACGCGCGCGTTAATTCGAAAAAAAAAAACAAGAAACGAGCTACACAGCAAGCATTGGTGATGATGGCAGGTGCAGACTAGAACTCAAGGATTATAAAGAAGAATAAATAAAAAGACTTGCGAAAAAAACCAAAAACAAACAAAACGAAAGATGATTATTTTCTTTAATACCCATTACTTGCTGCTTGTGTTGATGATATAGTCAATGGACTCTCACCATGACCATTGATCAATGATGGTGATGTACATTCACCGCCTAGTATTTGACTACTATTCGGTGTTGTTGATGATGATGATACAGGTGATGATGGTGATGTATTATTTGTTGTAACTCCTCCGGCTCCATTTCCCATTAATGATGGTGTCATTAAATAACGATAAACATATATACGATAATCTTTACTTGCTAAAACAACGCTTCCATCATCTGTTAATGCAACATCAAAACATTGGGCATGTTTTACTTTTGATTCAAGTGCATTAATTAATTGTCCATCTTACAAAAAAACAAAAAACCAAAATTAAAAAAATGTTGTTTTTTTTTCTCGTTTTACCTTGAGTAAAGATTGTTAAATTAAAATTATTATGATTGTCAGCAATAAGTACGTCACCTTGACTGTTTTGTACAACACCAATTGGATAATTTGTTATACCTTCGGAACCAATTGTTCGTAAAAATTGTCCATCATAAGAAAATACTTTAATACAATGAGCACGATTGTCTGATATAAATATTTCTTGTTTATCATTACAACAAACACCATTTGGAAATTCCAAATATTTTGAACATGTAAATTTATTTAAAACATTTCCATTTATATCAAAAATAAATACACGCATTACTTTACATTCAACAACAATAATATGACCCATATTATCAACACAAACACCTAATAGAATAAAAAGTAAATAATTATTTACAGAACAGTAAAAAAAATAAAACTTAATCTTACCACGCGGATGTTGTAAAACATTGGCACCGAATTTACGTATAAATTGTCCATATTGATTATAAATTTGGATTTGATGTGTTGGACTACGTTCAGTAACAACAATATCACCTGATTGACGAAATACAGCAACACGATTTGGATATAATAATTGTCCATCACGTTTTCCACATTCACCAAATTGAAAACGAAATCGTCCTATATATCACAAGAAAAAAAGAACAATATAATTTTCTTCTAATTAATTTTACAAAATTTAACCCTACCATTTGAATCAAAAATTTGTATGCGATGATTATTTGTATCGGCAACAATAATATCACCTTGAGCATTAACAGCAACACCTGATGGTTCAGTAAATTGTCCTTCAAGTACACCGAATTCACCAAATTTTTGATGATATATCATTTTATGTCGTTTTATTGTTGAACCATTTGAACGTGATGGTAATAAAAGATGATGAGGTATTGATGAATAACCATCAAATGTATCAACAAAATCAACTAATGAATCTTGTCCATTAAGATTTCCACCACCATTACTTGATGTTAATGAACTTGATAGTTGTTGTTGAGATGTTGATTGTGTTGGTATTTGTGATGCATTTGACCATAATTCATATGGATTAACATCAATAGAATTTGATGATAATGAAAAACTCATTGGTGTTGGTGTTGATGATGATAAATTTGAATATTTAGGTAATGTTGATGGTGGTAAACTACATGATAACATATCAATACCATTTAAAAGATGATTTGAATTTGTTTGTTGTTGAATTGATTTTGTTGGACTAAGTGATATCACTGTTGTTTGTTGTTGATGATGAACATGATTATGACAAGCATTTATTGATGATGAACTATTTGTTGATGGTGGACCAATAACTTTACTAAAATTATCGTTGTTTAACTAAAAATAAAAAAGAAGAAAAATAATATGTTTCAATGAAGAATTACTTTCTCTTGAGATACATAGATTAGGTTTCTTTCTTTTTTCTTTGTTTCTTTAAACAACAGAAAAATATTCTCGCGAGCTTAAAGAAGTAAAATAACATAATAATTGTCAAGAGAATTTTATCATAATGAATATTTTGTTACAAATTTTGATTGTTATTTATTTTGATTATCTTCTTGTTTAGTATACATTAATATTTGAATCTTAATTTATCAATAAAATTTGTACATCGTTTTAATATATTTATATTGAGATCCAGGAAAAAATTCTAGGATCATATATTCTATTAGAGTCGATGTATTTTTTTATTTTTACTTCACATAAAAATTCTTGTTTTCTAGAATTATTCTAATAGAAATTACAATTCTAGATTCAGTTATTGTTCGTTTTTTTTTCTTATACAAATCTGAGATTATCTGTTCTAAAGCCTACAGAATATTATTATCAATAACTTATGTTTGGGTTATGAAAATGACTGAAAAAAAGGATTTCCGTTTATGGAAATCATCGCATGTAAGAATGATACATTTTGAATACCTATTTTAATGAAATGTTTATTCAAAAGCCTATGAAAACGAAAAAAAGAAAAATGAAGAAATTTGATAAGAATGATATCTAATGATGCATCTGTCACCTAAACTCCAATGTTTAACAACTGTTTTCTTAACCTTGGTACTTCTATCATATAGAATTTCAATGTTTGTTCTTTAATTTGTTCGTGAAATCTCTTAATTTATTGTAATTAAAAGTAGTACAAAAGAAAAAAATTTCTATTTTCTTACTTTTTGTGGGCGTGGTTTATAAGGATTATTCTAAATTAAACAGAAAAATAGGTTTTTTTAAAACTCTTTTCTTTATATATTTACCAATGATGCTGTTTCAGGTGATGACCGTACATAACCAAATGTATTTCTTACACCTGTTTGAATTGCCTATAGAAACACAAAGAAAAGAAAAGAAATTATATATAAAGATAAAATCTTATTTTTACTTGAAAATTAGAAACAAATTCAAGTTCAAATGTTGATGATTGTCCATTAGTATCTGGTATTGTTTGTACAAGTGTATTTAATTTATTTTCAAGTTGTTTTTTAAATATTAAAATTTCTGTCGTTGATGAATTTTTAAATAGACGATCGGAAAATTCTAAAGGCTAGAAAAAAAAAAATTAATGTTTCCGTCAATAAACAAATATTTTTTTGTTTGATTATTATTTACTAAATTAGCACGTTCAACAGCTTCATCAATTTTTTGCATTTGATTTGTTAAAATAGTTTGTTTTTCATTAAATGCATTATCTAATTCCTTTAGTTAAAAAATATAAATTAATCTTAAAAAATTCAAAAAGCAATCGAATGGATTCTTACTTTAATTAATTCATGTTTTCTATCATCGATTAATTGTCGATAAAATGCGTATGTTTCATTAATATCATGTTGTGCTTTATTATATTGAGTCTAAATTTTTGGTAATATTTCAGTATATATATTATTTTAAATTTTTTCTTACTTGTAATACACTATATGATCGATCGACAATTTTTTGTGAATTTCTTAAATCATTTAAACGTTGTCGAGTATTTTCAACCATATTTTGTAATTTTGCTACTTGATGTGATCCTATTCGATTTCATGTAAATAAATCAATAAATAAATAAATATATATATATATATCAAGACGTTTGTTCTTTTGTCTTTTTTTTCGCTATTTATATATATGTATGTACCTGCATCATTTAATGGAGCGAATTCATGGCCACTAGGTCGATGATCAGTTGTTGTACATGTGATACAAACTATAAAAAATAAAGATTAAAAACAAATATTGTAAAATAATAAAGTATGATATTTTTACTAGGTATATTGCATGTTGCACAAAAATATTTGAGTGTTTCATTTTTATGATTCGAACAAAAGATTAATCGAAGATCATTACCATTTGAATCAAGTTCTTTTATATGAACAACCTAAAATATGATATAATGTTGATTTATTTTCATCGATATTAATTACAAATTAGCTCACATCAATTATATTTGTACTCGAAGGACAATTATTATTAATAATAATAGACATGTTTAGATATTATTCTTATTTTCTTCTTTGATATTAATCTTTTTTAGCTTCTTAGAATAACTATTCTTTAAAGTTGATGATCGTCCACTGAATCCAAAAATAGAAGGAAATGCGTTTCTTCTTTTTCTGTTTTTTTTTCTGCGAAGTCTCAGAGCCGATTACAAATATATCAAAAAAAAAAGGAAAAAGTGGAGAAAGGAAAGAAAAAACACACACACACACGCTATCAACATCATCATCATCATCATTTTTTGGGGGTTGAGACACTATTTGAGACATAGGAGAAAGAAAAAAAAAATATATAGAAATCAGAGAGTCTCGTTGTCGAGAAGTTCATTTCGGTCGACGAATGCATTGTACTCTACTTGCTTGAGAACTCTTGCCCGCTTGCATTCTCCTCCCTCTTCATTACAATTCAATTTTTCCTTTTCTTTTCTTTGTCCTGCATTAGACTCCTGGAAATAGGCTTCTTTCTTTTATGCGTTGTATGCTTTTCCTCTCTCTCTCTCTCTCTCACTCTCTAGGCAATTTTCTTCATCATTCAGTTGAATTGATGATGTTTCTAATGCACAGATAAAGAGAAAGATGAGGATTTTGCTATGTATCTATATGCATTTGCGTGCATACGCACGACCAATCTGCTATTCATAATCATTTAGTATGAAACTAAGTTCATTTCTTTTTTCTTTACATGTGTGTACCTAACATACTCTTAGTCTTCTTATTCTTCTACCTTTATGTCAGAATTATAATTGCTAAAAAGTTACAAGTAATCAAACGATAGATAATACAAAGAGAAAAAATACACACAAAAAGGAATCTGAGCGCCTGGATGCCACTAGACAGAAATATGATCCGACTAAAATAGAAACGCAACATAGAAATACTCGAATGCATCTCAAAAAAATTAGTAGGAAATCAGAAAGATAAGGAGAATAGAAAAAAATAAGCAAAAAAACTAACTAAATTATGGAAATGCATGCTCAGTAATTATTATTGGATTATATGTGTGCGTGTGTGTATTTGGTAAACGACGGCAATAGGAATGACGAGAAAAATGAAGGAAGAAAAAATCAATCAAATAGAATGTTGATGTGTAATGAACGAGACGAAGGAAAAAAGTTTCAAGAACCATGAACAAGTCAATGAAAGAAAGCAGGTTATGTCGGAAATGAATAGAGCAATGGTTATATGATTTTTATTTCTTTCTTTTTTTCTTCGGCTCTTAAAGTTATTGAAGAAAAAAATAAATAAAAATAAAAAACTCAATCTAATAAATCAAATTCTTTTCTATATTTTTTTCTTGAATTGTAACTTACACGATGACCTTCAAAACAATTCATAATTTGATGTGCACAAACACATTGATGACAGAGGAAGCTCGAACATTGGAAGCATTTAGCTACAGCCATTGATTCAGCACTTTTACATGCTGTACAACATTGTGCAGAATTTTCACCTAATGGTAACATATAATCATTGGACACATTTGAATGATTATTTTGCACTGTATAATCAGGTAAAATATCTCTAAGTATTGTTGTTAAACCACATAATGGACAACAAATACTTGTATCATCATTTTCTGATAATTTTTCTACACATGTTTCACATAATGTATGAAAACATTGAAGTACTTGAGGTCGATTTTGTTTATAAGGTTCTTGACATCCTGGACAATCCCATGAATTATAATGATACTCTTGATGTTGTAATTTAGGTAAAAAAGGTGATGATGAACAACAAGGATTATCTGCTGTTGCTGAATGAACGCTTGATAAACTTGAACTTGGTGATGATGTTGTTAAACCAGCAAGTAATGATGCATGCGCAGATGGTTGCGTTATTATATGTTGTGTTTGTTGTTGCAATTGTTGATTATGTGGTTGATGTTGTTGGGATTGAAGGCTACGCATGATTGAAATTGATCGACTGGTTATATTATTTGAATGTTGCGATGGTGGTGATGATGATGAAGCATAAGCGGAGTCTGAAAATGAGAATGCAGTTGATGAACCATTTGAACTCGAACCTGAACTATCATGACTTAAACATGTTGAAAGAAGTATATTCGATGATGTATCCGATGTTGGAGGAAATAGGCCAAAGAATGGTGAGTTCTAAATAGATATCATAAAAGATAACAAATGTTTCATATACTTTTTTCTTTCAATTAAATGTGACAGGCAACGAACGAACACTCAATAGTGTCTTGGCTGGGCCAAAGGTCATCATTTATATATGCATACAAACAGTTGACAAGCACAGCGTCTCCTGCTGCTCCTATTTTGGGTCATGTTTTTTTCTATTCTTTAAAAAGTTACGTACTCGTTAACTAATATAAAAGAATGATTCTCCGTTTTTTTTTATGTGACAAACATAGAGGAGCATATTTTTTTTTAAATGATAAGAAATCAATCAAAAAAAAACAAAAAAGAACTCTATTTGTATATTCTAATGCTAAGAAAAGACACATTAAAAATTATTCTTTTCAATCTTATTTTCATTATCGATGAGAAATAATGCTAGTTAAATTGCCTTTGTTTTTATCCGTCAATATTGCTTACCCATAAATCATTATCAAAATCGAACATTGTTATTTATACTGCTGCTGCTCGGCTTCCACAACTAACAAATGGATTTCTTTTCTGTCACCATATCGCGTGAGTAAAGCGCCTGACTGACGAACGATTTGTCAAAGTTGCTCCGTCTTTCTCTGCTTCTTTTTTTTTCTTTCTTTCGTTCTTTTTTTCTTCTCTCATTTTCTCTCCTCATCAATTGTGTTCCGTATGTATTTTTGAGCAGAATAGATCGTCAAGGTATCTGCGTCTTTTTCCCTTTCTCTCACTCCTATATTTCTATGTATATTTATATATTTATACATATGGGCGATTGATGTGAACATGTCAAAATCATCGACTGTCATGAATCAGTGGAAACTTCCAAGTGTGTTTTTTTTTAATTTTCTTTCTTTCTGATAGAAACAGCTAATGAATGCTGTTTGAAATTCTTTTTTTTCGTGACCGCAGGAATAAAAAAAAATCGAGCACATCTGCAGAGAAAAAACTGAACCTATATGCAGATGCTGGTATAATAACATATGCACAGATTCAATCATCACTAACATCATTCTTATTGAAACTGAATGCAAACTTTTTCCCACATTTTTTTTTCTCATAAAAACAAATTAAAAAGTCAAATTTATTTCTACTGTTGTTTATTTAATTTCTTTTTGCTCTTTTGCTATTTCTTTTTATTATTGTTAAATTAACTATTCACTATATTATATGAGACTGGTAACTCAAGTGGATCTATTGGATTATACATATGATTTATAAAACACTTGTTTAGAGTTATAAAAAGAATAAAAAGAAAAAGAAAGTCATATCCAAACAACAAATGACATTCTCATTTTTTTGTGCTTTCTTTTTGTTGCAGGCAACTTTTTCAAGGTTGTATACATATTATAATATAGCTGGTATATGTACACATTAGTCAAACACAAACAACACTACGAATAGCGACGGTATATATAATTATAGATGAGAACGAAAGAGAGAAAAAAAAAAGAAAATTTTTTTTTCATTTATCACAATTTATCGTAGTTGCTCACGTTTGCATCCAAACAAATACGGTGACATGATGAGGAGGCCCGGAGAGTAATATATCGTAAAATGTATCTTTTTCTTTTTCTTTCTCTTCTATATATTGGTGATGTAAATCAAAGAAATTCTCTTAACAAAGTAAATGTACATATTTATATAATAAACATTAGATCTCGAATAGAATGTGTTAATCTATTGGTCAAATGTAGTATTTCTTTTGATGAAAGCCCGTTATATGATATATAAACTGAGTTTAGAGCATCATCGTTTAGATAGAATTAGAAGCAATGAAGAAGAAATAATGATGATTTACGCGTTTTGTCGTAGCTTGAGGATAACCAAAATAGACAAAAAAATAGTTTCATTCAATTAATGCTTGAATTATTTCGTTTCTTTTTTCTTGTTAGAAACACTTAGAATAAATCTAATAAAGAAAAGCAAATGACAACAAATCAACGAATTAGTCTATTGTTGATGTATGAATTATATCTCGACAAACTTGTTTCCGATGAACATAGAAAATCAAAGTTCTCTTTTATTTTTAATATGAACTTTTTCGTGTAATTCTACAGGGAAAAGACTGATACCATCTAATTATAGATTTTACCATGATTTTTGTTTGTGTAGCATTGATTGAAGCATACGTTAATGACTACGAATTCATTCGATCTTCTTTTTTTATCAGATGGTTCGATTAGAATCTCAAATTTCATCTCTTTCTCTCTCACGTTCTTTCTCTCTCTTTGCCTCTATGTTTCTCCTACGATATTGTTTTAACCACATGTATATATTTATATATTCTATCATATTTTTTTTTCTGATAAATGATTGTATAGGTAAAGTGCATTTCACATCAATATTATTAACTAAGACATGGTAACACACGCTCACGCACATAATCAATCGTTTGAAAAACGAAAACAACATGTTGTTTTCGTATCTATAACATTTGCTAAATGCTTTAAATAACCCTGTGCATGTGAATCAGAGGTACCCGTTGACAAAAACAACAACAGGAGCATATTACAATAAAAGAGAAAGGAAAGAAAGTGAAAAAAGCGAAGCCGATAAAAAATAACCTATATATATTAATTTATTATCTTACCTGATCATGAACATCATCTTCAGCATCATCAAATTGGTTTGTTAAAAGAAGATCTTTATCACGGTATGGATGTTGAACATCAATTAAAAATGAGGAATCGTCGAGATCACCGTCGATAAAGATCGTTTTCAGGGTTGACGGTATCATAGAAATTGTTTGAAAGTGAAAGCGTCAATAATGGTAGCTAAAGTGGAAACTCAACAATTCTGTCGTTGATTCTTTCTAATTGTAGATGATGTTATTCCATTATTTTCTTTGCTTTGCGCGTCGCGCCACCATTCTGCTGTATGTGCTTATGTTGTTGTCGACCCGAGCAGCAAACGAACAGTCGGAAGAAAAAGAGAGAGGAAGAGAGAGAGAGCAAGAGAAAGAGTCGAAGAAAAGAAGAACGAGGGAGAGATTTTTACATGCCAACGTTACCACCAAGGTTGGTTTGGTCTATATTTTCTGGAACAAGAAAGAAAAAAAAGAAAAGAAAGAGAACTAATAAATAAAAAACAGGCGACGCAACATTAAAAAAAAGGGGGAGCGGGCATGAATGGGTGTATGCAGTGTGGCTTCTTTCTTCCTCTTGTTATGTCTATGCTTTCTTTTTACCAAAATATATCTTTATCTGAAAAAGAGAAAGAAAGAAAGAAAGAAAGAAAGAAAACAGAATTATTAAATCCCTCATTTGATGATAGTGAACGAGCACGAGTGTCGTTTTCATCTTTCTCTGTTGCTCTCGGTTTTTTTTCAATAATAAACAGCATCAAAACTAAATTAAGGTGACGATGTTGCGGATAACTACTTACAATGCTCCTGTCGAAGGATCGGTCAGAAGAAAAGAAAGCAGCAGAATAAAAACACTAGGGGCGTAAAAGATAGATCCACAAGCTTGCAAAAAAAAGCCAAATAAATGTGGCGACTGACGATACTCGATATTGTTGTCATGATTCATCTGGAAAGCACATGTTGCCTATATTATAAATAGTATTTGTAGATCAATGCAATTCTCTTATAAAACTATGTGACACGATCTTTCTTCGTCTCTATATACACGTCTGTTTATATTTGTGAAGCCTTCCTAGTGTGATCATCATCATCATTATCATCAGCTGCAGTCGTCTGATAACTTGATAGTCTGCTATTCGTGTTTTTCTTCAATCGGCATGACATTTTATTGATAATAGAGTTAGAAAATAACATCATCGTAATAAATAAGAGAGAGAGTATATCTACATGCAAGCACATGAAAAGCACGAGCATTAGTCAAGGTTATATGTCCCCTTTTTTTTTATTATGATTAGAAGTGCCATTACTAATATGACGAATGTAGACAAAAACAACAATATAAAGAAAAAACAACACGCTAAAAGAAAACAAAATTATGTTTATCAGATAAGATTTTTCTTTCTTTTTTTTCCTTTCCTTTTTTTCTATGTTCTCTATGTACCGAAGACTGGATGAGAAATAACACAACTTGGGATCGATAAGCCAAAAAGAAAAACATCAGACTAAACGTTTGCAGAAATACAGAAAAAAAAATACAAAATGACAAGAACGAAATTCGAATAATATTAGCCGAGAAATGAAAAGCGTTCTATTTCTTACCTTTATTTAAATGTCAGTTATTCTTTAGTAGTAATTAGTAAATATGTCATACTTGTGCTCTTTTGAACCGGTGTCTTAGATCATTCAGTTATGATATTCTAACATATAATTGCAATTAAGAACACTGGTTGAATTTTTTATAAGAAAACAACTAAAAGTATACAGCTGCACGATCGAGTCTCTAGTTTCATTATTGCATGAATTTAGCTTTAGAGTTATATACATAATAATACACAGATATTCTTTTTTTTATTTTTCTTTTAGTCACTACTATTAAATCAAAAATTTATCAATAAACACAATAAATAAGCATGACAAATATTTTTTCTTTTTAGAATAAGTCATCCGTCAAAACATTTTGTATCTCACTATCATGACAAATATCAATTAGAATTGTACGTATCGGTTCATAAGAAGTGTTAGCAAATATAAATGAAAATCTACTAAATATTTTTGTATGCCAAGCCAATGAATTTTTCAAACCCTAAATAATAAAAATAATAACAAATAAATAACTACAGAAGACAAAAGAAAATATTTATAATCATAATTATACTTTAATAAATAATTGTTGATTTTTGAATAATAATTTTAAAATGACATAAGTACCATATGATGTTTCATTAAGTATATCAATGACTTTCTCAATTTTCATTGATATAAGACAATCATATGAACTAATCATACAAAAATATTTTTATTTGATAAAAAAAATCAAAAAACTAAATGAATACCTTGATAGATCAGACCTTTTAAATATGGTTTCTATGATAAATAAACATATTTGATCATATTTATTTAAATCATGAAGAAGATCAAAAATAAAATCCTCAAAAATAAATAAATCATTAATTTATGATAAAAAAACCAAAACCAAAAGACAATCATACAAAATGTTTTGGTAAATAAATAGTTATTGTAATAAGAGCTTCCAATAAACATCGATTTGCATTGGAAAATGCTCGAGTTGGATTAATATATATTCGTATATAATTTAATAAATCATTATAACTTGTTGGACTAGTTGACTATTAGAAAGAATAATTTAGTTTTTTATTTTCTTAATCACAATTTTCAACTAACTGTTGTTAATGATGAAAATATTCGTAAAGCTAATTCACGATGATGTATTCGATTATCGGTTCGACAAAAAAGGGCCTTAAATTAGTATAATGTAAAAATTTCGGCTTAATTTTAATTTTAAAAAAATAATCATAAACAAACATGTAACAAATAACCATAAGCATTTGGAATAAAATCAAGAGGAATATCCGTTGATGATACATATTGACGTATTAATTGACAATTTTTTAAAAATTCTTCATAATATACAGTTTGACTAACATGATTACATCCCTAAAGATTGAATTAGACGAAAAAAACAAAAAAAAAAAAAATTCAGAATTTTTAACTTTTTTACTTCACTACAATACATAGCCCATTTTAGAGCATTTAAAACCTCATTACTATTAGTCCAACTGATAGATTTTGTTTGAATAATTGTTGTATAAATTCTCATTGTTATATAAATACTTTTAAATAAATTTGTTGTCATCGTCTGAAATTACAATAAGACAATACAGAAAAAAGGAGACTAGTTGTCAAGATTATATCCACATATATCAATGGATAGATATGTATACGTAGTCGCATTGGTGAATAGAAATCAACAAATCATAGGAAACATAAAGATGATGGACTTCTTTTAACAAAATAAAATTTTTGTTTTTATTTTTTATTCTTCACCGGTAAGCATTTCATGAACAACTTGCACAGTTAAAAGTAACAAAGTCTCTGTAGACATTAAAATATTTCTGTCTGATTTTTTAGAACATTGGGATTGATATAAGAAAAACCACGAAATGTGTCTGGTGGTGTTGATAATAATAAAACTTTATCTTTTTGTTCAAATTCAGATAAACGTAGTTGTTCATCATTGGGTTCAAACGATATTAATGACTAAATAAATAAAATATATCAATGAATTGATGAACAAATGTATTTCTTTTTTTATTACTATAAAAAAACATATGTGATTGTCTTTAGATTTAACTGAAAGATAAACAGCAGCGTACTTTGCACTTTCTCGAAGATGAAAGTACAGTATTTTTTTCTCATGTAGAAAAGTATGTATCGATCAATCAAAGAATAGAGTAGTCCAAAATAAAAAGTTGTACTCATGAGGGAATGTTTCTAAATGTCAAATTGTTTTTGAGTCGAGATGATGTGCATTATACAGATTCTGATGACTCATAAATATCCTAAAATAAGTTTGGACTAATAGCTTATTCCTGCCTAGATACTATATTTATTATTAGAATGCCATGGTACTCATCAGGAACACCGAGAAAAATCGTATTTCTTGAAAATTTACGTATTGAGGTCTTAAGAAAAATAGTTTATTGTGAAAGTTTCAGAATTTTTAATTGCGTCTATTCCGAAATCAGAATATCGCGATTTACCGTTCTGTATGAGCGGTGTGAGATACATATTTTACTGTAGCTGTATTTTAGGATAGACATAATCAAAAGATCTGAAACTTTTACAATAAATTATTCTTATTAAGACTTGTCTTCTTACAAAATTTCAAGTCGAAATTCGAAACTCAGTTTGTCTGGTTTTTCTGAAGGGCCATAAAATTGATTAAAAAATAGCGTAAAAGTGCAGTATCAGCATAGCAATAAGCTAACAGCACGAAATCTTTTCATGATATTTACAGTTCATTGGAACCTAAATGATACAAATAGTTCCGACTCAAAAACGGTTTGACATTTAAAAACACTCCTTTGTCAAATGCACGGGCTACATTGTTCATCTTTTGGAAATATTCTTTCGTCTCATTTCTATCAAAATTGATAGTTGCATTATTTGATTGAAGTTTAGTACTACTCAAAAGAATCAAAACAAAAAAGCTTCTGATATGATGCTTCCATTTGTCTCTACTCGATTATGTTTTAGCTAAATGTGAAATATGGCCAAGTTTGAAGGATAAAAAACCTATTGAAACGATCCTTTGACTAAGTGTTTTCTCAATTAGGAATGTATAGCTTCGATTGAAATACTGAAATACTGACAGTGAATCTACTGACTACTCTGGATCAGTATTCACGAAAACATTGACACATGCATATCGCATGAAAATGTCAGATAAATGAGCAAATGAGAGTCTAAGATAGTCAATGTAAGTTTTTAGTACATAGTTTACTGGAACTCCACATCGCTATTCTCAATTAAATACGTCTTGTTCTTATGTAAAATACATACACTTGGAACCCATGGTGGAGGGACTCGACGATTTTCAATATTATCCAATGTAAACGGTTCTCTAATAAAAAAAATCAAATTAAAAGAAATATTTTTTCATAGATTTACTTTTTCTTTTGATCTTACTTAAAAAATAGCTGGTCTTTTAGCAATCCTAATGGTGAATTCTTATTTCCTAATCGTCGCTTTGGATCACGTTCAAGTAAACCTGAGATAATTTTTTTAGCTTCTTTTGGTAATGTTTCAGGATAACAAACATCTTTAAAAAGAACATTTTCTTCGATTTGTGTTTCATCTTCATCATAAAATGGTGTTATAAATGTGAATAATTCATAGATCATTATACCCAATGACCACCAATCAACATTTTCATCATATTCAAAATGTTTAAAGATTTCATAAGCTATATATTCTTGTGTACCACAAAATGTCGTTGCTTTGGGGTGTTGATCAGTATTTTGTTTACATAAACCAAAATCACCTAATTTAGTATGACCATCTTCAAAAATAAAAACATTTTCAGGTTTTAGATCACGATAAGCCTATATGCAAGAGAAAACCAATATTGGAATAAAGTAAAAAAAAGAAAAAATTCATACGATAAATTTTGAATGAAGAAATGAAAGTGCACAGGCTATCTCTCCAGAATGAAAAACAATACGCTCATATGGAAATGGTCGAGGTGTTTGTTTTAAAAGAATACGATAAAGGTTACCACCTCGAGCTACTTCCATTAAGAAAAATAATCTTTCAGCATTTTGAAATGCATAAATTAATTGAGTTATAAATGGATTTGATCGACTTTCAGCCATTATTTGTCTCTCTGACATAACATAAGGTAAATCATGTCCTTCTAGTACAAGATTTTTGCGAAGTACTTTCATTGCATAATGATTTCGACCATATTGTGCTAGATAAACCTATTTATCAAATAGAAAACAAAAATAAACACTACTAAGGTGATACATCAATTAAAGCTAAATGAAGAAAGTCTCATTTATTTTTATGTAGATATCAGGTGTTGATTTCGAAACGCAAGTTTATAAATATTTACGGAAGAATAAAAAAAAACAGAATTGCAAGCATCAAGTGTCGAATTATGACATAAGAATAGCTAGTAATGTGAGAATTAAAAAAGAGATAGGAAAGTATATATACTAATAGTAATGATGGTTATCTCGTTAAGTATTGATGTTTTCTTAAAAAAAAAAGAAATACTACAATATTTTAGAATGCTTTTCCGATGAATATTGAATCATAGATTATATGTAATTATTCGAGAATTTAACAAATGATTTGAGTGAAAGATAAACGAAACATGTATTATATAAATTATATACATTTATTTTTGAAAGATAAAAACTGATTAACAAAAAGTAAAATATTGTAAAATGTACTATTTAGTGATTTTCATTCTGGTCACAGTCGTGACCAGCGCTGACGGTGATTGATCACAACCTATTTATAACATTTTTCTCTGTCGGAGATTGTTCTATTCTCATCTGTTAAACGTCATTTTAAAGACAAGAAAATTCTGAATCAACGATCTAACTCAAGCTATTCTTCTTGTCGTATTATGAAAAGCTGTTCGGAGAAACTATTTTTCTTTTTTGTGGTGACCACTGTGACCACAATGCAGATTTCTAGTATTTTATTAATTAATCAAAATTATGAGATATTTAAAACGTGTTTTGCTTTAAATAACTGTTTTATCCATAGTATTTTGATACATTCAGTTGTTTTCATTGTCGTTTTCTATTGAGTTAATAATATTGACCTGTAGAGAACTTAAAAGCATAATAAAAATACGATCATTTATGTATAGTTCTATTAGAGATTTTCATCGATTTTACTATCAAGTATTAAACAACAATTGACACACCAATAGAAACTCTACATACTTCAGAAGATAAGAGAAAATGAATTGTGTAGATAAAATTTATAGGAATGGTCAAAAAAAAGTTTCTAAACTATGTTCATGCTTCTTGTTCATAAAATAATTTACTTTCCAAAAATCTCTGACTTCTTTTGCTACTACTGAGCTTATGGAGGAAAAAATTATGGCAGTGAAAATTCCGTAGCAGTGAATTCAAATTAAGAAGGTTTAGATAATTTCATATAGGATAAAGAAATGCATCATGAAAATCTAGTTTTCAATACATAAAGCATAAAAAATCTTTATCAATATTGTTTGGCGCGATCATAAGAGGGTGCAAAAAGCTAGAGAAATGATTTGGCTACAAAGTGTTCTCGAACAAAATCATATGTAATATGTATTTTAAAAAGCTTTCAAAAAAGACTATAAATTTCTTGTATAATGCAACTCGTTATCAAGAATTATTGATAATTATAAAACATAAAAAAACACATTTCTCATTTCACATCAAGTAGAATAACAAATAAAAAAAGGAATAGGTTCCAAAAATTTTCCATTATAAAATCTATACTTAACAAATAAACGAATTCTATGTTTTAAAAGAACTGAATAGATCAAAATACATGACTTAATTATCAGTTTTCTTCTTATGATTAACAGAACATAAGAAACATCGTCATATCTAATAAATCGTTATGAATCCTCATAATTAAAAATAAAGCTTTTTATTAAATATAAAAATCAAATTCAATAAATAAGACTTACTGCTCCATTCATTCCCTGTCCTAATGTACGTATCAATCGAAATTGATTTATATCAAATCCAGATGTTACATTCGATCGATAACATTTTGATATACGTTCAATTTCTTTTTGAACATCCTGTGATCGATCAGTATTATCCAAACTTGAATAAATATTATATAAATCACCATTATATTGATAATCATTATCTGCTTCACCATAATGCTTAAAAAGAAAATCAAATTCTAAATTCAATTGTTCAATTTTTTTTTAATCTTCAACTTACTGTTTCTTTCCATTTTTCATATAATGCTAAAACATTTTCTTCACATCCACAATAATTACCCACTTTTGCTATACAACGACGATGTACAGTCATTGCACAATCTTAATTAGAACGAAAAAAAAAACGAACAGAAAATTTCAGGCACAGTTTGCTGTTTTTCTTTGTCATAGGAAAAAAATCATACGAGAACATTTATGTGCATGACCAGGTCGAACAAAACTACCACAATGATCACAAAAAACAGGTTTTAACGAAAATGGTTGTTGTTCAAAATGATGAGGAACATTAATTTTAAGCTAAATGAAAAACAATAAAATAATATAAATATTAGAAATGAATAAGAAACCTTACATCAGGATATTTTTTTCCTTTACATGGACATGCGAATCTACTATAACATCCTTTATGTACAACACAATCACATCGTTGACATTGAAAACCTTGATAAGAAAAGCCCCTTTAAAAATCAATCAAATAAATTTTTTTTTTTTTCTTCTTAGCTAAAAAAAATTAACTGACCAAAGAAAATCTGAACATACAGAACAAAATGTTGGTAATTTAAATACTTTTGGTAGAAATTCATGACCAAAATGTTTATAAATTTGTTGACGTCGTTCAGCATAACGATTTGCACCTTGTATAATATTCTCTTGACGAAGTGTTCGTCCAGAGGAATCTAAAAATGATATTAATTACATTAAAATTAAATAAATTAATCTATTCAATGAATTGACCTTTATATTTTACAATCAGTTCAGCTTGAGCTTGTGGTATAAAAAGAAACTAAATTGAAATAAGATGTCAAAATTCATTAAAAAAATAAAAATCTGTATTCTATACTCGATGTCGATGTCCATCAGCTATTTTTTTTAATGCATCTAAATCTGACTCGAATGTATAAGTAATATTATTCCAATGAATTCGAATTATAATTTGTCGCTTTATTTTATGTATTAAACCAGCATCAAATGGAATACATTTCTCTTTTTCAATGTAGGTCGGAAATTTTACTTTCGCTGGCTCTTTAAAAAAAAACAAACAAATCAAAGTTATGATATCTTATAAATTTTCTTTTTCTTCTACTTTCAGCATTATCTCGTGTTGATCGATATTTTTCTTTAAGTTCAATTTGTGTTTGAACATTCGACAAATTTACACATTGATTATTATTCACTTGAAAATTCACTATTTGCATACGTAAAAATGGATGTGGCTGTTGAGACATATCTGTGAATATAAAGATATACTTTTGTTTAAATCAAAAGTAATTGCTATGTATCATACTTGGATTACATGATTGAGAATGTGTAAATTTCGAACGTACAGTCGACGTCATTTTTACATTAAATAATGATGCTTACTAAACAGTTTTCACTTTTTCTATAGATGTCATTTTTTTTGTTTGACAGTAAACATCATAATAATGATTGAGAAAAAGAACGTGATGATGGAATTTTGTGAGTGCATATACGAGTTTCTTTTTCTTTTCGGATCAGAAGAAACCGATAAAGAGAAGAAAAGAGAAACCGGTACAAAAATATACAAGTAACAGAAAAAGAAAAATTACACACCAACCTGAAAAAAACAACATAGCAATTTATATTTGAAAGAGAAACGAATGATTAAGTGTGTGTGTATGGAGTCGAAGAAAAGCGAGTGTCTTCAGGTAAAAAAAACTTTTTTCTTTGTAAATAATATCATAGTTTTAATGAAGGATCAATAAATGAAAAATTGCGAAATTTATCATTATTTATAGTAAGTGTCGTACATATTGCTTCTTTATCAATATATGATAGACATATTTCTTCTGTTGCTAAACGTTTCTTTAGTAGAGGATTAGAAGGAATCTAAAAAGAAAAACATGTACGATATATTGAAAATTATACTAGAAAAAAAAATTTTTACTGGTTTGTTCCATGGACATGGTAATCTTTCTTGTTCAATATCTTCTAATGAATATGGAGATGAATAAAAATTCCTTGTCCTAAGTTCATTTATACCAAAACGTTCTATTGGATTTTTATTTAATAACCCAGTTAAAATTGTTTGAAGATCAGATGAAATAGTATTTGGATATTGGAAATCTCTATAGATTACATTTTCTTTTATTTCCAATTCATCGACGCCATTAAATAGAGTGTCAAATAGGATCATTTCATAGATCGTTATACTCAAAGACCAGTAATCAATAGGAAAACTATAATTTATGTTTTGATAGATTTCTGGTGCTATATATGCAGCTGTACCACAAAATGTACGTGTTGTTTCTGTTCTATAAATCAACTGTTTAGAAAGACTAAAATCTGTTAATTTTATGCGACCATTTTGCATTAAAAGAATATTTTCAGGTTTTAAATCTCTATGAATCTTAAAGACAACAAAAAAGAAGAAGAATTCATCTTTGTTACTGAAAAAGTAATTATATCAAAACCTACTACTAATTATACAGAAGATTGTTCACAAGTAATTACATCATTAATACATTCTTCATGGACAACTAAATCACTTAATTAACATTGATATCCCAGTGTATTAAAACCCCTTGAAAAATCAAAAAATTTTAAAAATGAAATTTAAAATAAAATTTTACCAAAGAATTTTTCTGCAAACACTACAGAAATCAGGTAAAACGGTAAAATATCTTAAAACATACAAAAAAAAATCATCTTTATATATTTATCAGTCGAATAAATTACTTTGGTAAAAATTCATGACCAAAATGTTTACGTATTCTATTATGGATTGATCATTGCGCTTTTCTGATATTACTTGGTACTAACAATAAAATCAAAACGTTTTTTTTTTTCTATAATTTTTATTATTTTCAATTTACTAGTCAATTCAATTGACATCCATGCATGACCTCCATCTGTGAATCGATACTAAAAAATTTATATGAAATAAGAAAAAAAATAAAAATTGAAATATTTTAAACAGTAATTTGACTTCTCGAATAATTTTATCAACATGTCGAATTAAATCTTCAATTTTAGTTTGATAAATATAATTCGTTTTGTCATCATCAATATAAATAGTTATAGTTATTTGATAGCCTTGTTTAGTACTTGTCGTAAAATATAAACCGTTAGCCCTGTCATTATATGGTGTAAATTTTGGTCGATTCAATAAAACTTTTTTAAACAAAAAAAAAACGATAAAATATAAAATAAAGAATATTGAATTACATTGTGGTGGATCGGCTGTATCAACGCTTAATCTAATATTTTCCAATGGTTGAATTTGTTTTCCAACAGAAAAATGATCGAGATGCACACGAATGAATGGTTCATTTGCAATTCGGTTAGATAATTCCATTAAAATATTAATGATGAGTATAAAAGTATTTAGAAATAATTTGATATCAACAATCCTTTATTAGCTACTGATAAGAAATCATGAAGACAAACATGACATAAAGAATATCGTAGAAA